AAGTGACACCTGTCACGAATCGAGGGGCAACCCTGACTCGACTCGTCGAGTTCGCTCATGGACTCGGCGAGTTCGTTCCATGCTCATACTCAAATGACCTTCTGAGGTCAGATCTGTTCCTCTAATCCACAAATCTAATCTTCCCAAGCTCAATAATCACGTAAAGGTTCGAATTTGATGCCCATACAACGTCCAAATGACACTACTTGATGATTTAGCCCCAAATACAACTTTCTAAGTCCATTTCTTCCATAACTCCTCATAAAGCAAGATGGAATAGGTTCTCTAGACAATTATGGATCCAGATCTGATGTCTAAACATGATAAGGGACCATATTCCCAACAAATCAACCCAATAAAGGGTATAGAAAACCCTAGATCCATGGATTCTTTAACAAAACAGAAAAAGGATCGGTATGCTATCTCAAGGATGATGTCCTTTGCTTGCAATCCACAAATAAGCAACCTTCTTGACCTCCTCTAAGCTGGAATCAACTTCTTCTTGCAAAACAAACCCACAAAGGTCCAATAACGGCTTCTTCTCTCTCACAAACGCTCAAGCACTTTAAGGGTTTCTCTCAATGGTCTGGTAGCCGCAAATGGTGGCTATACGGGTCCTTAAATATGCCCCAAACCCGAGAAATTTGGGTTTCATTAAACAGCGTGGACTCGCCGAGTCCTCCATTAAATCAAACCAACACATGCGCGATCCCACTCGGCGAGTGTGAGCGCCTACTCGCCGAGTCCCTCTCTAATATTCAACAAAATACATATAATGAGATACTTGGGAATCCGGATGTTACATTGGGGAGTTTCGATAAATGGCTACAAAGGCGACGACCCAAAGCGTAGAGGGGGCAATAGGGGGAAACACGGAGGGTACCAAAAGCGTAGAAATGAGCTCTACAAGGAGACTCGATGATCAAAATGAGGAGGGATGCAGAGGGGCCAATATTATGAAAATACCCCAGTTAATTTACAATTACATCAATCTGCGGAGGGTTTTGTGAGTCTGCAGAGCTCGTATAGAAGACCTTCGCGGAAAGCATGTCTATATCCGGAATTTCAATTTTTTATGGATAAATTTTGTAATTACCTCCAAAATATGTCTATTAGTGGGATAATCCCACGCAAAATACCACTCATTCTAAACCAAGGGATACCATTAGCCATAGAAAATTAGAATCATGTAAGAAAATGGGTCCTTTCAAATCCTTACGAATGTAGGTTCCACATTTGTCTAACCCCAACCCCAAGGCTTAGCTGCTTAGCTGTACCTGTGGTAATAGATGGCACCTACTTTGACTAGGTACAAGGTTTTAGTCTTTTAGACCTCTCTGTGTGTGTGGTGTGGTCCCAACAAACAACAATTGATAATCAAATATGGCATTGACATCACTCTTATGTCGATGCTTGTACAAACCCCTTTACTAGATATAAAAACTTTACTTTATCATTTATGACATTGGAATAGATTTCGTAAAATTTAACCAAATTAATCAATATATCTCCCAAATGGTATTCGTTAATAAAGAAGTTATGTATGAATGTAAAATTGTTCGTAATAAAAATGAAAAACTAATGTTTTTTTAAAGAAAAATATGCTGAATGAACAAGAAAATTATAATCAAGGTCTAATGGCACATAGATTAAAAGTTGATGACTTATAAAATAAATCCGAAACATTGGTGACTCATTAAACAACAATATTAAACTTTAGAGATTAGTTTGAAGTTGGTTTAAGTGACGTTAACACTTAACAGTTGTAAGCAGGACACAAAGTGGGGCACAAATGGTCCACTACTACACAATTCCTATTTCATAATTGGAAGTGACGGGGACATGGTTCCACATGGTGAGATGGTTAACAGGGTGGACTGCATTAACTGATGTGGCATGCTTCTACTTCTACCCCTTTGGGCTTTGGCTTTGCTCCCTCCTTCTCAACATATAGTTAATTTCTTTTTTTTACCAATTTATATTTATTATTAATATTCTTTTCTTTATATAATATTTTTTTTGGAAACATCAAATTATATTTTAGAAATGTACCCAACAAATTATATTTCTGTACCCAACGGTACAGAAATAAATGTTCAAGGAATTACTCGAAAAAAAGGGAGAGGACAACCACTAGTTACAGATATCACCAGTACTTCTACATTTAAGCCAAAAATACATCGAGAGATTTAATATGTTCCGCCCCGATATATGAACATTTGTTTAAAAATCCAATCGTTTCTATATCTCCATAAGTTCCAAATTAGCCCATATCAGATGGATGTGAAACGATTTTTCATCTTAGGACTTCTCATCCAGTTGTGAATTATGTTCTGAAACTCTCCAATAGAGTTACTGGATTCAAACCACATCACGTGAGAATTTTCTGTATGATCGCGCTTGCATACAGGCACTGCATCAATATGTGGTCAGCATTGTCTTCACCTTCGATACAAACACTACATCGTGTTGAGTCAACGTTAATATTCGTTGGTTGTAACGTCGTTGCTGTTGGAATTCTCTTCCGAGCCGCTCTCCAGATAAAGCAATTAACCTAGATTGGTATTTCTTTATATAATATATGGCTTAAAAAACTTTCTATTAACAAGTTTCAAGTAAATGTTACATTTATTATGACGTTGATATGAACCGTTTGATATGATCCGTTAGTTATAGAAAAAACTGATATTTATTCCCCTTTCATTTGTTTTATTTTCTTGATTTTTGATTAATATAAATATAATAAAAACTGATAGAATATGTTTGTTTAGAGATTAAATATATGTCAATTTATGTTTCATAAATTCAATATCAAAATTACTTTTTGATATGAAAAAGATTATATATATATATATATATATATATATATATATATATATATATATATATATATATATATATATATATATATATATATATATATATAGTATTAATAGTACGATGTTGTACTATGTACATAAGTTTGACTAAAATTATGTCATTTCTATTCGATTTCTTTTTGCTTTCTCGTAATACGGTTACAGATTTAAAGATAACGCCTGCTTGTCTTATTTACTTGATGTCATAGAAGACAAATACGTGACTTGCAAACCAAACCAAAACAAAACAAAAAGAGATAAAAAATATAAAAGGAAAAGGAAAATGATTATATGACATCTTAATTACTTTACATGAGTTTTATTATGTCTTCTAGTTTAAAAAAAAATCGTGTATTTTGACTCAAAATTCGTAGTTTCATACCAATGTTTCACATGAACGTATAAAGAAACGTTACATATATGTAAACCTATTTGAAACGTAAGATCCATTATGAATTAATTAATTAATAAAGGAGTTGGTGTATAGGTGAGAGGTGAAATGATAAAGCGTAAAGGGTAAAGAATTGAATACTACTACTACTACTCCCCATCTGCTAAAGACGCACAAAAAGCACGATTCTTGTGCCTTGCAAGATAAGCCTCGCTTTCTCCTCTTTCCCTTCCCTTAAAGATATGCTCATCTCAATTTACCATTTTGCCCTCAACACTATTACTTTTACTCCCATTCCTATTATTATTATTATTATTATTATTTAAATTTATCTTAACAAGTATTTACTACTTTTATAAATAAAATATGTTTTGATTATTTAAGGTGTTGCATAATCATTTTTTATGTCGACCGTAACAAAATGTATTTTTAATGGCAAAATGAAATTACAGATTTATGAATCGTTGTAACCTAATTTGAGATAGTTTCTAATTTGATTATGGCAGGCACACATCCTTTTTTCTTTATGATAGTTCTTCTTTTAACTCAATTTATTTTTATTTTTAAAAAAACTAATGCAACTTTCTATCATGTTAAGATGTGACATCGCAATTTTGCCAAGAACGACATTCTAAACAAAGGTGCATGGCTTGTATTATTTTTTCCCAGTTGAATTTCAAGTAGGGCAAAAGCGTAATTTTATGGGTTTTAGTAAATCTAGAAGCTTTGCGTTCCCTGGGAGCAATTTTGCTGGAGGCTTATCCTTTCCAGTTTCCCCAACGAGTAAAATAAGGAGATGACCCACCCGTGAATATATATAGGAGTATAAGATATTAGATATATCCGGTGGTAAAACCGGAGTGGACTTACCTACTAAACCGGATGACTTTTGGCTTTGAGGAATTACAATTAGTCTAATCATATTTAAACAAAATTTGGTACATTGACAAATTCTTTTACAAGAACCCCGTTTAAAATTTAAAATCATGATATTAAACCCTTCGAAAGTTATTACGCCAATTACATGTAAAGAAACGCATTCATAGTTCTTATTTTTTTATTAGTAATATATTATGCGAAAATATAAAACATTGTTTTGAATTTACATCAAAATGAGCCTATCATAAAATACCTATACGGCTCTCTTTGACGCTAACGAAAAACTAAAATCATAAAATAAGATAGTTCATAACCCTAGCTTATACACGCCAAAGAGAGTATAAATCGTTTTTATAACCATTTCAGCTAATATTTACTATTATCATGTATCTCTTTGTTGTTTTTAAATTTTGAAATTTGTGATAGTTATATATATATATATATATATATATATATATATATATATATATATATATATATATATATATATATATATATCTCATGCCGTTTAATAAGCAAAGTCGAGAGTTGTAATACATATACTTGTTATGTATTACGAAGCAAGAGAAGCACGAAAATGGAAATATGAATTCATGAGGGCCAAAACAATAGAACTTTAAATGAATTAAGAGATTGTACAAAATAAGTTGTTGTATTCAAGATATGATATCACTGATAAATATTAAAGGAAACTATTTATTAAATAATCTCATTATAACTTCGTATAGTGGTTCCATTTTAGGTATTTTTATGAGTATTCCTATTTTAAAAAACTAAAAAATATATATTATAATAATGACTCAGCAGTATTATTACAGTAATTTTAGAAAAAAAAGGGGGAGAGAGATTGAGAGAATATGAGTGGTGACAGCCATGATTTGGAAGGATCAAAACCTTTCTCTCTCTTCACAGCTGGCACTTGATTTACACACACAACCCCCTCTCTTACATTTAAAACCCTTTCCTCTCCAAATTAATATGTGAGATTCATTCATTCATTCATTCATTTACACACACACACCCACCATTGGCCATTGGGATTTTAATGGTCGATCACTGCATATCAACGACAATGGTTGCGTCTCCTTCTCATGCCTGTGTAGAAAAGAAGTATTGGTGGCTAACCAACAAGAAGGTAATAATATATTGTTGTGATTTTCCTCTGTTTCAACACGATATAGCAAATTATGTCAACGTTTCTGATTGATTTATATGTTGGATTTCATATCTCCAGATCGTTGATAAGTATGTGAAAGACGCAAGAACCCTGATTTCGTCTCAGCAACAAACGGATATTGAAGCGGCGCTTAATCTTCTTGATGCAGCGCTTGCTTTATCGCCAAGGTTTGAACTGGCTCTCGAGTTGAAAGCCAGATCTCTTCTCTATCTTAGAAGATACAAGGAAGTCGCTGATATGCTTCAAGATTACATCCCTAGCCTGAAAATGTCTTCCGACGATTCATCAACATCCTCTTCTTCCTCCTCATCGGTTTCATCCGACAACAACTCCCAATCACTATCGAGAGAACGAGTCAAGTTATTGTCCTCCGATGGTGGCTCGCCGGACCATTCTGTAACGTCGTTCAAGTGTTTCTCCGTCTCCGATTTGAAGAAGAAGGTCATGGCTGGCCTCGGTAAAAACTGCAATAAAGAAGGTCAATGGAGGTAATTTCAATTTCAACGCCTTCTCTTTTGCATTCAATTCCAGTTTTCCTTTTCACTAATATCGATACTAGTCCAGAGATTGGCTTCCAAATTACGCTAAACCGCCATCGACAATTATTGAATTTCCATGGTTTTCAACCAAACTTTATTTTTTAAACATCGAAAAAGTCGCATCTGTTTGTTTAATATTATTATATACGGGAATGGGAGGCTAAAATTGGTATTATTTGGTAGTGAGTTGTAACTCAGTTGAGTAATTGCTATGGTGATATGATCTCAGGTACTTGGTTCTTGGTCAAGCATGTTGTCACCTTGGCCTAATGGAAGACGCCATGGCTCTTCTTCAGACCGGAAAACGCCTTGCCTCAGCCGCATTCCGACGTGAAAGCATCTGCTGGTCCGATGACAGCTTTTCCTTCTCCGCCGAGATATTCACCGACGGCTACCAGCCACAGACGCCACCAAGAACAGAGTCGGAGAGCATCTGTCACCTCCTGAGTCACGTCAAACTCCTCGTACGTCGCAAAACCGCAGCAATCGCCGCCCTAGAAGCCGGTCTATATAACGAAGCCGTCAGACATTTCTCGAAAATAGTCGACGGTAGGCGTGGTGCCCCTCAAGGGTTCCTGGCGGAGTGCTACATGCACCGTGCCTCCGCTTACCAATCCTGTGGTCGGATCGCTGAAGCCATAGCCGACTGTAATCGGACCTTAGCATTAGATCCATCTTGTATCGAAGCCCTAAGCACGAGAGCTTCACTTTTCGAATCGATTCATTGTCTTCCAGATTCTCTTCACGATCTTGAACATCTGAAACTATTATACAATTCCATACTCCGTGATCGGAAACTACCTGGTCCGGCATGGAAACGTCAAAACGTACGATACCGTGAAATTCCAGGTAAACTCTGTTCTCTCGGATCCAAGAGTCAAGAACTGAAGCAGAGGATTGCTTCAGGGGAAACAGGGAATGTGGATTACCATTCTTTGATCGGTTTGAGACGCGGTTGTTCCAGATCGGAGTTGGAGCGAGCTCATTTGTTACTCACCCTCCGTCACAAACCAGATAAATCCAATAGTTTCATCGATAGGTGCGAGTTCGCTGATGAACTTGATATAGAGTCCATTAGAGATCGAGCAAAGATGTCTGCGTTGCTGCTATACAGATTGATTCAAAGAGGGTATAACAATGTGATGGGGATGATTTTAGATGAAGAAGTTGCAGAGAAAGACAGGAAGAAGGCTTCAACTGCTGCTGCAACATTACAACAGTATGATCCATCATCATCATCATCAGTAGTTGATTCAATTAAAATGGAGGAAAACAAGAAAACAGGATCCGTATATCAAGGGGTGTTCTGTAGAGACCTTGCAGCGGTTGGGAATCTGTTGTCACAAGCGGGATTCAACCGGCCAATTCCGGTAAAATATGAAGGTTTAAGCTGTTAGGATTTAATTAAAAGCATAAACAAATAATCAAAAACCGGTTAATGTATAAATTGTGGTTGTGGGAAGACGTATTATCAAGGGGAGGGAAGATCGAAACAAATTCAAATAAACGAAGCTTGGTGGAAGTCATTTTTGTACAAAATGGGACAAGGGAAGGGAAGGGAAGGGGACTACTCTTAATTAATTTACGTTTTACAAAAAAAAAAAAAAAAAAAAAAAGGGTTGGAAAATTTTGTCTGTTTGTAGTTTCCTTTTTATTATTACTATTACTTGTTTCTACCAGCAAAGTATTATTATTACTTGTTTCTACTAGGAAGTGTTTTACTACTATTACTTTTTGGGTTTTGGTTACATAGACACACGTAGTACATGTGGAGCCCATGTGAAAGCATTAATAAAGTTGGATGATGGATGGATGCATGGTAATGAGGTGAGAAAAAGTATGATGGTGAATTTGGTTTGTCTTGTGTGTCTTTTATGTGGGCACTGTTTCCTTCCCTAGCTGTTGTCTGTCAGTCTCAGGCTTTATTCGATACGTACCCATGCTGACATTTTCAGTCACAGATTGATGGTGGAGATATTAATTTGGATCAACCAACACACACTTCAATTATTATTGTTTCTTCTTTAGGTTTCTACATAACATTTCTAGGCAGGAAAACCATAATATAAAAACTTGATCAAAGCCGTTTAAATCAGGGAAATGATTTACCGAGTGCAATAACTTTTTTATTTTGTTATATTTGGACAATAATCACATTTCAATACATTTAATACGTTTCTTTTAATAAGTTTTATGGTCAATCATGTATAATTGTTTTTATCTAAAGGTGAACAAAATAAAAATTTACTACTCTTCAAAGTCATTTTCCCAAAATCACACAGCAAACTGATTTAAAATTGTTTTTTGTTTAAAGATACCTTTTGAAACTTTTATTGGTTAAGTAAAGTTAGAAACGGTTTGGTTTTTGCTCATGAACCATTAGGATTCAATTTTGAGCATGTACTAGTGTTTTTAATGGTAGAGTTCATTTCTATTTACCATAAAAAATTTAAGATTTGTTAAAAATTATAAATTAGAACGTTACTAAATTAGTTGATGAAAATTAAATAATATGGCCGTTGAAGCATGAAGTGACCATCGGCAGCTAAAGGGATTTTGAGAGATGCAAAGAGTTAGAAGCTTTGGAGAGGATGATGCGAAAAGTTATCTATTTTAGTATGACGAAGAGTTTTATGTAGACCGAAGATAATGAATGTTTAGTGAAGACTTGTTGTTTTGTTTCTTAAGGATTTGAGGAATGTTAAGTTTTATCTGATATTGTGTGTTTGGTTGGTTCTATCAGATTAGGTGGCAAGCATGGCCACCTATCCTTTTTATCTTTTGTATTGACTAGTTAAGGAAATATATTTTTTCATTCTATAAATAGATGGTCATGTTGATCGATCAAATGTGTGTTTGGATATTCATCATTTTTGTAATCCTTATTGAAATACAAGTCTCATTATCTTCATATTATACTTTATTGTTCATCATTTATTAACTTGTGTTCGCATACAAACTTTGTTATGATTTAACTAGTATTTTTAACTTGCTTACATTTATTGTTGTATTTTGTTGCTATATTTCCATCTTAAATTCCACAATCTTATTATTGTTGAGCTAAACAAAGATCTATGAGATTAACTTAATATTCCGCACCATAATCTCTTAAGCATAAGTTCTTCTCTCAACAATTGTTATTAAAGCCATAATGATGCTTTTTAACTTTTCAAAATCGTTGTAATCTTATAAAAAAAATCTGATCTAAAAGGCCTTCTACACAATTTAGCTCATTTCTTTCAAAACCTAAGGCAAATGGCACAACTTTACTCTTGAATTGTATCTAACAGTGTTGGATGTTCAAATTAAGCTCCAATACTTGTTGTAAGTGAGTATCATCATTGGTCTCAAGGAATGGAGAGATATTTAAGAAGACTTGGAAAAGGGAGTATGAATATCTATTAGAAATTCGGTAGGGTTTATAGTGGAGATCCAGATACCCCTTGGATCGTTTAAACACTTTCTGAACTTATATTTCTATCCAATGTTCGGGTTACAAGAAACTCATCATAGAATAATCTCAATGGGACACTTACGAATCTAGGCACAGAAAACATAAGCCAAATTGCTGGAAGATTTTGGGTTCATATGAAGAGAAAACGAGAGCTAAAAAGGTGATCCCATCCTCAAAAAGAAGAGTCGTTTTTATAGAAACGTGATTTACGGTTTCGTTTTTAGGGTTGGCCGTCATGGGTTTCTTTGGAAACAAATCAAGGGAATCCAGAATTAATGAGGAAATTAATGGTTTCCAAAACTGAAGATCTTAGTTAGTTTTACCATAATCGCCCTCAAGAATTCAATTTTCCCACTATATACCCACTTGTAAAATCCGAAGAGTTTTTGGGGCGCTGCCCCTTGGACTCCGCTAGGGGCGCTGCCACTAGACTCCACCAAAGGGGCGTTGCCCCTTTGGAAACCTCGGACTTAGGGGCGCTACCCCGAATCCTTGACTTGTCATCGAACGGACTTAATTCGACTTATACATGCGTGCACTCCGCCATTTCCAACACATATATTAGAGTACAAATGACGAAGCCCCTTACCTCACATGTAAGTTCTAATTACACAAAATGACCTGGTGACACTAAAATCACTAACAATCCTCCCCCATTTTAGTGTGACCATTAAGCAAACATAACATTATATAAAAACCAAACTAGTATATAATAGAAAATATCGTAACGATTGAATTTTCACTTAGTATCAAACTCTTACAAATACTCGATAATAAGGGTGTTCTAAGAATTGAACCTATCAACCCATTTGAATACCAGAAAGTAAAATACATACTAGTTATTGAAATTTCTAGAAAAATACAACTTGATACTATTATTAAGCCGTGTGTCCTAATCCTCTCATGATCGTATCAAGGTCAAGTACTCAACCTCTTAAAATGCGGCTACACTTCATAATCATGTAGGTAACTCCTTTCCATGTATCTGCACTTACATTTAATCAAATGAATTATTAAGAAGTTAAACTTCAACATGGTCAACTACAAAACCGAACACATTATATGGGATGTATCCTTCATGTGTTCCAATCTATAAGTGCGGGCTTTCCACATTGAATTAAGCTCTTATATATTAGGAGGGAATTGGGTGTCTCACAATTACATAATTTAGATGGACTTTAATTCCATCCCAATCAGAAACTTGTGAACTAAGTCTCTTGACAAACCCTTAGTCAAAATGCGCTGCCAAATTATGTTATGATTTCACAAACTTAATCGAAAATACACCATTCATGATTAGTTCTCCACTGTAACACCCAAAGTTGGTATGTCTTGTGACCCTCGAGAATTCACACTTTTTCATTTTTGGTCCCTTGAGTACGCTGGGCGTACCTATGGGTACGCTTAGCGTACTCTGGTTAAGTGATCGTGGAGGAGCCCTGCGTACGCTGGGCGTACGTTGGGGTATGCCGAGCATACGCATCAGAAGGACTAAACCCTAAATCCCGGACTTGTTCCCTATTTAAATGCCTTTTGGCCTCTTGGACCAAACCCCATCCGTCTCTTTATCCCCGTTTCGTCTTCCTACAGCTGAGTTAGAGTGTAAGTGAGTTTTGGATCCCAAAAAGAGGGTTTTGGTGGTTATTTTGGAGTTCTTTCAAGAAGGAGAGTTGTTAAGCAAGCTTGGATCATTTGGGTGCTTCAAGGATCTACTTTTGGGTCATCTTGAAAGGCTTCTAGAGGTAAAAAAAAACTGGTACCTTTCCTTGTAAATCTTTAGATCTAGCTAGGTTTTTATAGTTTGGTCCCTTTTGTGGGACTTTAGACCTCTTTTGGCAAGATAAGCAACTCCATGAGAGGAGAATGGCAGATCTGAGGTCCCTTGGTCGTTTTGAAGTATAAAAATGGAGTCTTGATGGATGTATTGGTCACATGCATGGGTTAAGGGATTTGGAAAGGTCTTAATGAAGGTTTTGGGTGTATGGGAGGCATGCAAAGGCATAAAGTTGGCAACTTTATACCTTAGGATGTATTAATCAGCTCAGATCGGGCTTTTGGACGTAAAGAAATTGAGTATTAAGCACTTAATGGAGAAAGTGCTTAGTCTGGAAGAACGTTGGGCGTACTCAATGTACGCTACGCTTAGTCCTTAAAGACCCGGTATGCTACGCGTACCAAAATGGTACGCTCAGCGTACGCACTGCAGTTTGGGTTGGATTTTTTCTTTTGGGCCTTTGTGCTCTTGGACTTCATTTTTGTTAATGGGTTGGTTGTATTCTGTGAATTGTGGTCCATTTCTTCTGTTATGGGCCATGAATACCTTGGGTGGGCCTTATTGGGCCAAAATACCCATTAATGATTTTTGGACTAGGACTTTGGGCCCATTAACAAGGGAAGGGTATTTGGGCCTCATGGAAAGATGTGGGTTTGGGTTTTCCTGGATTAATTTAATGTCCTAACATTGATTAATATAAATTGTCCAGTTCGAGAGGTTGCAGACTGTTAGGAGAGCAGCTTGTGTGTTCAGCAGTCTGAGGTGAGTCTTCTCACCATATCCATGGGTCTAAGGCACCAAGGTCTGCCCATTATGTTTTTATAGTATATGTATTAGTTACTTTGTGATTTGATATGATATGCGATTGTGTGTTTTGCACGAAGACCCCCGGGGGGGAGCCCGTGATATTGGATGTAAGACCATGTGGGGTAGCTCATAGCAGTCCTAGGTAAAGACCATGTGGGGTAGCCCATAACATTGGATGTAAGACCATGTGAGGCAGTCCATGGCAGTCCTAGGTAAAGACCATGTGGGGGTAGCCCATGGCATTGGATATAAGACCATGTGGGGTAGCCCATGACAGTCCTACGTAAAGACCATGTGGGGTAGCCCATGGCATTCTTGCTGGTTTTATGTATGCATGGCTTATGTGATATGTGTGTAGCTTTGATTAGCAACTAGGATATATGTATGTGGGTTGTGTGGTATGCTCTGGGGAAATCACTAAGCGTTTCGCTTATAGGTTGTTGATTTGTTTCAGGTACATCAGAGCCCAAGGGCAAGGTGTAAATCCCTAATTTGCCTGTGTATCAATCAGATCCGTTTGATGGTGAGGAATCCCAATCAAACGGATGATGTCAGATCAAATAGAAGAGAATGAGAAGAAAAATATGATGAATCTTGTATATATTGATATGAA